CATTCATCCGAAAACGCTTTTTCGTCGAAAATCCTGTTTTCGTCGAAAATCCTACTTTCGTCAACATTTGCGATTTCATTCATCCGAAAGCGCATTTTCGCCGAAAATCCTACTTTTGTCAACATTTGCGATTTCATTCATCCGAAAACGCTTTTTCGTCGAAAATCCTACTTTTGTCAACATTTGCGATTTCATTCATCCGAAAACGCTTTTTCGTCGAAAACCCTACTTTCGTCAACATTTGCAATTTCATTCATCTGAAAGCGCATTTTCGGCAAATATCCTGTTTTTGTTGAAACTCCTACTTTTGTCAACATTTGCAATTTCATTCATCCAAGAGCGCTTTTTCAGTAAAAATCCTGTTTTTGTCGAAACTCCTACTTTTGTCAACATTTGCAATTTCATTCATCCAAAAGCGTATTTTTGTCAAATCCTACTTCTGTCAACATTTGCAATTTCATTCATCCAAGAGCGCTTTTTCGTCGAAAATCCTACTTTCGTCAACATTTGCGATTTCATTCACCTGAAAGCGCATTTTCGCCGAAAATCCTACTTCCGTCATTATTTGCGATTTCATTCATCCGAAAACGCTTTTTCGTCGAAAATCCTACTTTCGTCAACATTTGCGATTTCATTCATCCAAAAGCGTATTTTTGTCGAAACTCCTACTTCTGTCAACATTTGCAATTTCATTCATCCAAAAGCGTATTTTTGTCGAAACTCCTACTTTTGTCAACATTTGCGATTTCATTCATCCGAAAACGCTTTTTCGTCGAAAATCCTGTTTTCGTCGAAAATCCTACTTTCGTCAACATTTGCGATTTCATTCATCCGAAAGCGCATTTTCGCCGAAAATCCTACTTTTGTCAACATTTGCGATTTCATTCATCCGAAAACGCTTTTTCGTCGAAAATCCTACTTTTGTCAACATTTGCAATTTCATTCATCTGAAAGCGCATTTTCGGCAAATATCCTGTTTTCGTCGAAAATCCTACTTTTGTCAACATTTGCGATTTCATTCATCTGAAAGCGCATTTTCGGCAAAAATCCTGTTTTTGTCGAAACTCCTACTTTCGTCAACATTTGCGATTTCATTCATCCGAAAGCGCATTTTCGCTGAAAGTGCTTTTTCGTCAACATTTTCGTCGAAATTCCTACTTTTGTCAACATTTGCAATTTCATTCATCCAAAAGCGTATTTTTGTCGAAAATCCTACTTTCGTCAACATTTGCGATTTCATTCATCTGAAAGCGCATTTTCGCCGAAAATCCTACTTCCGTCATTATTTGCGATTTCATTCATCCGAAAGCGCATTTTCGCCGAAAATCCTACTTTCGTCAACATTTGCGATTTCATTCATCCGAAAGCGCATTTTCGCTGAAAGTGCTTTTTCGTCAACATTTTCGTCGAAATTCCTACTTTTGTCAACATTTGCAATTTCATTCATCCAAAAGCGTGTTTTTGTCGAAAATCCTACTTTCGTCAACATTTGCGATTTCATTCATCTGAAAGCGCATTTTCGCCGAAAATCCTACTTCCGTCATTATTTGCGATTTCATTCATCCGAAAGCGCATTTTCGCCGAAAATCCTACTTTCGTTACTATTTGCGATTTCATTCATCCGAAAACGCTTTTTCGTCGAAATTCCTACTTTTGTCAACATTTGCGATTTCATTCATCTGAGAGCGCTTTTTCGTCAAAAATCCTACTTTCGTTAACATTTGCGATTTCATTCACTTGAAAGCGCATTTTCGGCAAAAATCCTGTTTTCGTCGAAATTCCTACTTTCGTCAACATTTGCGATTTCATTCATCTGAAAGCGCATTTTCGCCGAAAATCCTACTTTCGTCATTATTTGCGATTTCATTCATCCGAAAATGCTTTTTCGTCCAAAATCCTACTTTCGTCAACATTTGCGATTTCATTCATCCAAAAGCGTATTTTTGTCGAAACTCCTACTTTTGTCAACATTTGCAATTTCATTCATCCGAAAGCGCATTTTCGCCGAAAATCCTATTTTCTTCAACATTTGCGATTTCATTCATCTGAAAGCGCTTTTTCGTCAACATTTGCAATTTCATTCATCCAAAAGCGTATTTTTGTCAAAACTCCTACTTTTTTCAACATTTGCAATTTCATTCATCTGAGAGCGCTTTTTCCTCGAAAATCCTACTTTTGTCAACATTTGCAATTTCATTCATCTGAGAGCGCTTTTTCCTCGAAAATCCTACTTTTGTCAACATTTGCAATTTCATTCATCTCAAAGCGCATTTTCGCCGAAAATCCTACTTCCGTCATTATTTGCGATTTCATTCATCCGAAAGCGCATTTTCGCCGAAAATCCTACTTCCGTCATTATTTGCGATTTCATTCACTTGAAAGCGCATTTTCGGCAAAAATCCTGTTTTCGTCAACATTTGCGATTTCATTCATCCGAAGGCGCATTTTCGTCGAAAATCCTGTTTTCGTCAACATTTGCGATTTCATTCATCCGAAGGCGCATTTTCGTCAAAAATCCTACTTTCGTAGAAAACCCTAATTTCATCAACATTTGCGGTTTCATTCTGAAAGCGCATTTTCGTCGAAAATGCTAATTTCGTCAACATTTGCGATTTCATTCATCTGAAAGCGCTTTTTCGTCGAAAATCCTACTTTTGTCAACATTTGCGATTTCATTCATCCAAAAGCGCTTTTTCGTCAAAAATCCCACTTTCGTCAACATTTGCGATTTCATTCATCCGAAAGCGCTTTTTCGTCGAAAATCCTACTTTCGTCAAAAATCCCACTTTCGTCAACATTTGCAATTTCATTCATCCGAAGGCGCATTTTTGTCGAAAATCCTACTTCACCATTTGCGATTTCATTCATCCGAAAGCGCATTTTCGTCGAAAATCCTAATTTCTTCAACATTTGCGACTTCATTCACCCGAAAGCGTATTTTGCGCAACATTTGCTGTTCTTGTTTTAATAGCTCAAACTGTTTTATTTAATGAATTAATGTTTGAAGTAACTACTGTGCTGCTATAGTGGTTTCAACAAAAAATTAACTGAGAAAAAGATGGACATTTTATAGCTCATTAATGATTAATTGATAACTGATCGTTAAGGTGTTCAACTATCAGTTAAGAAAAATGACTGAAATGGGCAACCCTATCATAACCAATGTACATATTTCACAATATCACTAACACGCTGATCAAAATATTGACACAGCAATGTATCCTCCTCCTGAATTGTATCTCTGCTGCTAAATACTATTTTAACGTAAGTTAATTGGCAAAAGCCAAAGTTGACAGCAGGATTTAATATCATGTGAGAAGAAATTGGGAAAGTGGTTCCAAACCTTTTTCCTTGGAGCACCTACCTAAGAAAAGCGCAGCCCACACAGGACTCAAACGAAAAATAATTAAAATAAAGTCCTTCCAAAATTACACCCCATTTTATGCATTAAAAATTTACAAATTACAAAAAAAAAATATATATAGTGAGGAAAATTATATCTAGACTATGAATCAATAATAAAAACAATGGAATTTGTTTGATATTTATGGCATTTTTTAGCCTAACTTTTACTAAAATTAGAGTATTCATTTGATGTCAAATGGCACCGGACGCTAGGGATGACTCACCTCTTTTAGTTGATGGTAGCACCTGTTGTCTGTCCACTATAGTCATCTTCTTGTTCCTCGTTTGTCACATTATCACCTTGTTGCTTCTGTCCATCTGGTTTGCGGCTTTTTAAAATAAAAAAACTATACAATTTTAGTCTGTTAGCTAGTTAGGATGAGCCGCAAGCTGTAGCCAATTAATTGTTGTTATGACGCTGTTGTGCTGTGTTTGCAGGTTGGTCACAGTGTCCTCCAATTGAGCAATATATTTATAATAGGCCCAAATATTTTTGTTAGAACTTGCATGATATACCACATTGCTGATGACTTAAAATGATTTATTTTCTACACTAGTTCACAGTTGAGTTCCCGTCTCGCAGCTCTTTCTTTTGAAGTGCTGGAGAGGCCGCCAAATCTGGCAACACTGCATTGAGTCGAGAATAATCCTGTGTTCGAGACCAGCCTGCGCAGAAATGATGAAAAGTGTAGTCTTAAAGTCTTTTCCTCCGCAGACACAACTTCCTCCAAGTCAGTGTGGTTCTTTTTAACAGTTAGTTAATTTAAAATGAGTAACGTATCATAATGGCCCATTTAAATTTCACGTATTGTACAATCTTAGCTGTAAATGACCCAAGATGCACACGTTTGAGTGCTCCTAAACTAAAAGTCTGTGATATTGTCAATGAACTTAATATAATCTTGGAATGTTAATGGAGCACATAAGGTAGGTGAAGAAGAGCTATGAGCATATAAAAGTTAAAAAAATCAAGGCAAGGAAAATTTTAACTTCTAAATGTTTCCTTTTAATTTATTTTTAATTTAAACTAGCTCAATGAGCTGTAAAATGTACTCATATCAAATATTTTAATCCTAATCAAAAAAGCACTTTAATGAAAAGGTATAGGTTGAAAATAAATGCATTTATAGCGTTTATAAATTACTTTATATAGAAAGGGCGCCCTCTGGTGGTTAGTTGTTGGTTACTGCACTTAAATAAGAAATTAATCAGACTATTTGTTATCATTTGAAGCAAAGTTTGAATATTTTTTATTATAACATTTAATGTAAATGAGATGATTTTCTATTAGGAAACATGCTTATTGGTGTTAGATAATTAAAGTTATTATCAGTGCTCTGTATGATGATGGTCAAGGTCTTGGTTCTCAAAAGGATTTGATTGATTTTGAGGAAAGATATTTATTGATTGCCGATAATTAAAGTTAACATCTGTCGCGCAAAGGAAAAGTCAAACTAAATAAAACACAGCTGGCAGATAACCAACGACATTAAGGACTAAGGCACTACAGCAGAAAGGGACCACCCCTCACAAAGCTGAACCTGATCACAGATGTAACACATCTCTCTCTCTCTCTCTCTCTCTCTCCTCCCCAGGTACAGAAGTCTCTGTGATGCAGATGATGCAGAATGGACACAGCAGTAATTTTATTACAATAAAATATTGAACAGACATGATGACCTCTGTGTTTTTTGTACATGTTAAGTCAGCACAATACAATAAGGTGTCACAGGTGAGGGGGTTACATCCAGCCAGTCCCCTTTCCCCCCACCATCCTCCAGCCCCATTGGGTAGGAACTCAAATCTTTAAAACCAAACGACAAAAAACTAATTAAATTAGTTAAAAGGAAAGTTTGAAAAGTAAAAATTTAAACTTAGTTTAGTATTTAGCATTTAGTAAAAATGCAGCTTTAATATAAATAATTTACCAAACAATGATGTAAGACTCTAATTAAAAGTTATAGGTTGAAAATAAATGCATTTTATCGTTTATAAATCACTTAATATGGAGAGGGCGCCCTCTTGTGGTTAGTTGTTGGTTACTGCACTTAAATAATCAATTAATCAGACTGCTGTTTCTTTGAGTAAATTAAGCACAGAAGGCTGGATGAAGAGCTTTTACTTTAAAGTAAAATAAAAGAAGTCTATTCATATTACTTGAACATTTAATCTCTGAGCTCTGTGCACAGTAATGTTGAGAAAATCATCTTACCTCGGAGCTGAGTTTAATGAACACTATGTAATTTGACTAATGAGACTAAATTAGGCTCATAATTTGTGATTTAAAAGTTGAATAAATTATCTCAGACAGACGATGTTGCTATGGTTCACTCCTGCTTTTATACAAAAGAAAACACTAATATTTTACTACTTTACAAACACATTTTTAATCTTGTATTAGTTACAGTCTATGAGAGATAAGGCCATTAAAAAAAAACCGATATGTGACGAGTGACTATGCTGAAAGAGGGTATGATAGAGAGAAATAATAATTTAATAATATTTAAGGTTGACATTTTCTCTGACTGTGCCTGTTGCACCTGAGCTCCGTCTCCTGTAGAGGACGATGTTGCTTTACTTTGATTGGTCTCATCTGCTGTTCACTATTAATGAAACACATGAAACATGACAATGAGAGTTTAAGAATGTGTGCTCATCCTGACTCATCTTACACATTGAGCTGTGAAACTTCGCAGATTAAAATACATACAACACATTATTCACAATGAGCAGGAGGAGGAGAGAGAGGGCTAAGTGAGTAAAAAGAGAGAGGGAGGACTAAGTGAGTAAAAAGAGAGAGAGGGGGGAGGAGAGGAGAATAATAAGTGAGTAAAAAGAGAGAGAGGGAGGAGAGAGGACTAAGTGAGTAAAGAGAGAGAGAGGAGGTAGAGGAGGAGAGAGAGGGAGGAGGGGGAGGAGGAGAGAGAGGACTAAGTGAGTAAAAAGAGAGAGAGGAGGAGAGAGAGGACTAAGTGAGTAAAAAGATAGAGAGGGAAGAGGTAGAGGAGGAGAAAGAGGACTAGTGAGTAAAAAGAGAGAGAGGGAGGAGGAGAGAATAATAAGTGAATAAAAAGAGAGAGGGAGGAGGAGAGAGAGAGAGGGACCACATTGCAGCACACCCGTGCGTAAATGTGACCAAACCACCGTGCTCCCTCCGTCTTCAGCACCTCCTCTCTCCTCCTCCTCGGAGCCCGGACCCCCTCCCCTGTGTCTCCTTCGCTCTGTCCGGATCTTCTCCGGTCTCTGTTGAACCCTGGAGTCCGGGGTGTCTCGGCTCGGCGCCCTCCTGCAGGGTTTGGGAGGAGCGCCGGGGAGCTCGTCCCGGTTCCTGCCGGGCTTCGTGTCCACCCCCTCGGACGCTCATGGCGGCTCGGAGCGGAGGGAGAGGCGCGGGTCCACCCGGTCCCGCATGCCGGTGATGCGGGGTCTGATCGCGCCGCAGAACACATTCCTTGACACTATCGCGACGCGCTTCGACGGGACCCGTGAGTACATATCCCACTCAGCCTGAGACCCCGGAATGTTCCGGTTCAGACTGTTGACATGATGTCGAGCTGAACTTAACCAAGTCCTGCAGAGACAGAGAGACAGACCGCTTTAAATCATCTGTGTGTGTGTGTATGATATTGATGTAAACATGGTGTTGAATATGTTGATGCATTCATGAGCATCATTTAGTCAGCTGTGGGCTGCAGCTGTCAATCATTTAGAGTCTGACTTCACTGCAGGGCAGTGTTCCCCTGCTGAGGGGGCCCGGGGCTGAGATCAGCTGCATGGCCCCCTGTTTAGCCCCCAGCTTTTCTTCAGTCCAGCACATTTGTTTAGTTTCTGTTTAAACGACAACCATTTCAGCTAAACACTATTTGTTGCAATCTGCCGGCGTTTTGGGGGCCTCAAAATGCAAACTTTTAAAAACAGCAGCGTTTCTGTCATCATGTAAACTGGGGAAATCTGAAGCTCCTCTGAAAACTGAGACTTTTCACACTTCTTGTATCTTGATTCTTCTTTTCAGTTGCTTCTTGGAATTCCAGATTTGTCCCTCAGTTTTCATGTTTCTTTCTGCTCTCTGATTGGCTGTTAGATCTTTAGCTACCCAGTAAAAATGTCTAAATGTATCCTCTCTATCGTTATAACCGACCATGTCTCTTATATTATACACCGCTCTATGATATGTGGTGATCAGGTGCTCACTCTCTGAAAACGTGGCTGACCTTCTGCTGGAGATTAATGGTCGCACCAACGGCTCCGCCCACTTCGTATAGTCCTGCAGCACATGAATGAACCGGAGTCCCAGAGGGCTGCTGTTCACAGAGCATGATGCTGTTTGTCTTTCCAGAGAACAGAGCAGAGAGTATCTCACATCAGGTGCACTGATTTAGTCTGAGTCTGTTTGATGTATGTGCAGCCATCCATCATCCCAACATCCCAAACACAAAGAGCAGCGTGTAGAGGAAACTAACCTCATAGATACAAGACATAATCCACCGTTTGATCCCTGACTTATAAAGCACCTCAGTGAGAGTGTCAGTGAAGTGTTGTATGATACATAGAAAGCTTCTGTGGTCTCTGTTCATTCTGTCACAGTCGGCAGCTGCAGATTTCTACTATCCACACCTTCATTGTGTGTCCTGCTGAACATCTGGACTCGTCAGTTGTTTCCCCTTTAATGTAACACACACAGAAAACCTGACGACCACGACGAGACAACACCGAGTCTGTTCTCACGTCAGATCCATCCACACTAACATGACGTCTCACTGCGCTTGTACAACACCAAATTCTGCACGTCCAGGTTCACTAATCTGCAAACAAACAGCACAACGTTCAGTCATAAAGCGATCATTGCACAGGTGGTGGAGGTGTGATTATTGGGTCCTCTCTACTGATGCTGTGTGTGTCTGCTCTCAGGGAGTCCTGGGAAGGATCAGAGGATCACCTGCATGCAGAGGTGGACTGTGGCGAGCACACTGCACTGAATTTAAATGAGCGTAAAAGTTGTGTCACTTTATGTTGAGCATGAGGTGCACGAGCTGCAGATGTGAAGTTAAATATTGCTCTGATCTCGCTACTCACCTGAGGCTCCGGAGGGTTTTTATGTTTTATTATTTTTAGTTTAACTCTCTGTGAGAAAGTGAAAGATCATCAATGCGTGTGATAAAACATCCAACATGCCTTTAGTAACTTCAGAAAGCTTTTGGATGAACTGATCTGTGACAGTCTTATCTGCTGACATCAGCAGGTTGAGTTAAAATATGATGGCTATCTCCTCTTAGTTTGGTGTAGATAAATGACTTTCTATATGCTGCATTCAGGTAACAGCTGGAGGAGTAAGATAAACTCTGCCCCTGTTCATCAGTCTCCTGTGAGTCTCAGTTTAAAAGTAAATAATAAGTCACACAGAGAAGTCCCTCTGCAGCTCTTCAGTTTATATGAAGCTGAAGAACAAACAATGTTCTCACATTAACACGTCTGAAAGAAACAACTTTAGAAATGTTTGTTTGATAAACGGAGGTCGATAATTTATGATGCATTTAAGGAAGACAGGAAATCTAAGTGATGATTGTCTTGTGCAGCATCAAATGGATTGTTGACTCAAGTTTAAATGTTTAAAGCGTGCTCTGCACATCACGCCAAAGCAGCTAAGTGAGGGGGGGCCCGTGCCACCTCTGGACACGCCGCTGGTTGATGTGTTTCAGAGTATTTGTCGGACTTCCCATGATCCTCTGGTTTGAAGTTTCCAGCAATTACACCGATCCTGTTTTATTACCGTGTGAATTATTCAGTTTAATTGTTCTCACTTCATCCTCATACAGACTCATATAGAAGTTCTCTCTGTTGGTTCAGCCCTCTCTCTCTCTCATTCTTTATTCCTCCCTCTCTCTCTCTCTTGTCCTTCACGCTGAGTGCTGCAGTCGGCACATTATTTAATTTTGGACTTTTAATAACCTCAGAGGAGTGAATGACTGTCTGTATGGGGTGCTGATTGTAAAAACATTGTTATATATATATGTATTAGATATATTTTCAATATTTAGTTAATATCCTTCACATTTAGCTTGTTTTACACATAAATAATTGCAAAGTTTAAGTGTTGAACAAAATATTTAATAATGAATCTAAATGTAAAATCTAAATGTTATATCTAAATGTTATATCTAAATGTTATATCTAACTCTAAATGTTAAATCTAAATCTAAATCTAAATGTTAAATCTAAATCCAAGGAACATTTAGATTTAACATTTAGATTTTACATTTAGATTTATTATTAAATATTTCTTAAACACTTTGCAATTATTTATGTGTAAAACGAGCTAAATGTGAAGGATATTAACTAAATATTGAAAATATATCTAATGTGTGTGTGTATATATATATAACAACGTTTTTACAATCGTCACCACATATGAGAGTCACCCACCAAACCTCACTCACTTTCTTCAGGATTTATTCATCATCAGAACGTTCACTTTTATCACAACCTGCAGGTTTAAGTATCGTCTTTATGGATCATATATTCTCTTCTTCTGTCCTGTTATGCGTTGCATGTCCTGCTGCATGGACTCACGTCTGCACGGACATCCTGTTGCTTTCATCTCATAGCTCAGTATTCACTTCAGTCTTTCTCTAAACTTTCGGCTCCTCATCTTCAGACCTGTTCCTGTGGAGGTT